GGCTCGGGCAGCGGAATTTCAGCTGCGCCCGGGCTTCGCGGCGGACCTGGAGGAACTCAAGGAGGACGGGACGCCGTGGGACTTGCGGCGCCCCGAAGATGTCAAGGAGCTCGAGAAGCAGCAGGAGCGGATGGATCCCATCCTGCTCACGGGGTCCCCTCCATGCGAGAAGTTCAGCTTGCTGAGGGGCCTGAGCGCCAAGTTCAGGACCGATGAGCAGGAGGCGGCTGAGATGGAGGAGGCCAGACACCACCTGAAGGTGGCAGTCGACGCCTACTGGCGTCAGCTCAGGAAGCCAGGCAGGTACTTCTTGCATGAGCATCCCTGGAGCGCGCGATCGTGGAATGAGGACATCGTCAAGGAGCTGGTCGCGCATCCAGGAGTCTTCACGGTCAAAGGCCCCATGTGTCGGTGGGGCATGAAGCTCACGAACCCCCGCAATGGCCAGGAGGAGTTCGTGCGCAAGGAGACCGGATGGGTCACCAACCATCCAGGCCTAGCCCGGAGGCTGCAGGGCACTTGCAGCAATGTGGACGGCCGCGCGGAATGGCATCGCCACATCACGCTCGTGGGCGGCATCGCGCGGTTCGCGAAGGTCTATCCACCGAAGTTGGTGGAGGCGGTGCTGGAGGAGCTCAAGGACACGCTGAATGACGTGGGAGAGCTCAGCACCGCCCAGGTGCAGCAGTCGGGCCCAGTCCCTGTGGACGCGGCAGTGCCGCCCGGGGACTGGACGAGTTACTGGGACGACGTCAATGGCGGCTACCTGGAGGCGGGCCTTGTGGCCCAGGCTCGCGCGGTCGAGCGCGAGTGGGTCAAGAAGCAGGAGCTGATCGAGATCGTCCCGAGGTCTCAGGCTTTCGCCGAGACTGGGCGTCCGCCCATCCCACTCAAGTGGGTCGACACGAACAAGGGTGACGCGGAGAGGCCCAACTACAGGAGCAGGCTCGTCGTGAAGGAGATCAAGGCGAAGAAGCGCCCTGACGAGCAGCTGGAGGCGTCCGAGGTCTTCTCGGCCATGCCTCCTCTGGAGGCCATGCGGTCGCTGGTCTCGCTGATGGTCACGTGGGCGCGGGAACCACCGCTCCACATTCAGGAGTCGCTTCGCAAGAAGGGCAGGAAGCCGGGCAACTTCAAGATCGGCTTCTTCGACATCAGCAGGGCGCACTTCTACGGGAAGGCGCAGCGGAGGATCTTCGTGGAGCTGGAAGAGGAGAGTCGCAAGGAGTACGGCGAGGACAAGTGCGGCCTACTCCTCAAGTCCTGGTACGGCACGCAGGACGCCAGCAAGATCTGGCAGGGCGACTACACGGAGCTGCTGGAGGAACACGGCTACAAGGCGGGCGCGTCGTGCCCAGCGGTCTTCTACAAGGAGGTGGACGAGACGAGGCTGCTGGGGCACGGCGACGACTTCGCGGTGCTGGCTCAGCAGCAGGACATCGACAGCTTCGAGGCCACGCTGGGCAAGAAGTACGAGTTCAAGAAGACTGCGAACCTAGGCTTCGACGAGGGCGATGACAAGCAGGCGGTCTTCCTGAATCGGGTCATCGAGGTCAGTGCGGGAGTTCCGCCTGGCGGTGGCCGGCCCTGCCGGCATGCGATGATCGAGCCGGACAAGCGGCACGCGGAGATCGTGATCGACGAGTTGGGTCTCAGCAAGGCCAACGGCGTGGACACGCCGACGGAGAAGCGCAGCGCCGACAAGCAGATGATGGATGCGAAGTCGGCGGCGTTGGGAGCAGCGGAAGCTTCGCGCTTCCGATCCCTCACCATGAGGGTGGCCTACCTGTCTCAGGACAGGCTGGACTTGGCTGAGGCATCGAAGACGCTCGCCAGGTCCATGCAGACGCCAACGGAGGCGAGCTGGCTCATGCTCAAGAGGGTTGGCCGCTACCTCAAGCGGCATCCTAGCACGGTGACGGTTTTCACGGAGCAGAAGACGTTCGACAAAATCCGGGTGTACGTGGACTCCGATCATGCAGGCTGTGCAGTCACGCGGAAGAGCACCGGAGGCTTCGTGGCGATGCTGGGGCATCATGTAGTCAAGCACGGCAGTAACCTGCAGTCGACGGTTTCATTGAGCAGCGGGGAGAGCGAGTACTACGCCCTGGTGAAGGGCGGGAGCGTGGGCCTAGGCCTTCACAGCCTCTTCGCGGATTGGGGGCTGGACCTGAAGGTGGAGCTTGCCTCGGATTCATCGGCGGCCCGGGGCCACGTCCAACGGCGAGGTCTCGGGAAGATGCGGCATGTTCAATCACGATACTTGTGGATCCAGGAGCGTGTTGGCAAGGGCGACCTCTCGATCGCTGCAGTTCCTGGCAAGAACAATGTCGCGGACGTGCTGACCAAGAGCGTGGGTGGCTCCCTTTTGAGGAGACACATGGCTACGCTGAACATCTGGGGTCGGGCACCGAGCTCGAATCAGAAGGGCATCAAGTGATGGAGTGGATCGAATCCATGCTCCGCTACCTGTGGGGCTGGATGAGGTTCCGCCGGCGGCGGTATGATCGCGCCGGGCGGAGTGAGGGGCTCGCGGCATGGCCGCAGCCTAGCCGATGAGCTGGGCGCGTCGGCTCGGGCGCGCCCGCGTACGACTTAGGTCGTGCCTGGCCGGTTTGCGGCCGGGCCCGAGGAGGAGTGATTCTGACACCCTCCTCTGTGCGCCCATTTTGGCTCAAGATGAAAAGGAGATATTGCTGTTCATCGGCATATTATCTCATCAGGCCAGCTTGAGGAGAAGCCATTATTCGGCCGCTGCTGCATTATACTCTATCCAGTTATGTTATTCGATGTTTTATGCTAATATGGTTTGTTATGTTCTGCTCTCGACGTCGCGGCGTGACGTCGTGGCGCCTGTCACGTGAGATACGTCGTCCAATCGGGCGGTATTGCGCCTGCTGTCCTGTTGCCATCATCACGTCGGCGTGGTTGCTGCGTTTGACAGGGCGCAAGTAATCGGCCATTGCTTGATGCGCCAGTACTCAACTGGTGTAGTGCGATGGCCTTACGGCTGGTGCCGCCGACCCTGAAGGGGGACGACGACACTGGTGGCGACGACGACGATGTTGGGCCAGAGTCCTCAGGGATAATTCTTGGCGTCTGTTCGGAAGACTCTCGGGGGCCTCTGTGGAGAAGGTATGGGGCCTCTTGGGAGCCTCTACTACGCACTACGTACCACGTACCACGTACTACGTACTACTCCTCTTCTTCCTCCTCCTCCTCCTCCTCTTACTATTATTATTACTACTACTACGACCACTACTACTACTTCTACTTATACGTATACTTCTTCTTCTACTACTACTACTACTACTACTACTACTACTACTACTAATACTAATACTAATACTACTACTACTACTACTACTACTACTACTACTACTACTACTACTACTACTACTACTACTACTACTACTACTACTACTACTACTACTACTACTACTACTACTACTACTACTACTACTACTACTACTACTACTACTACTACTACTACTACTACTACTACTACTACTACTACTACTACTACTACTACTACTACTACTACTACTACTACTACTACTACTACTACTACTACTACTACTACTACTACTACTACTACTACTACTACTACTACTACTACTACTACTACTACTACTACTACTACTACTACTACGACGACGACGACGACGACGACGACGACGACGACGACGACGACGACGACGACGACGACTACTACTACTACTACTACTACTGCTACTGCTGCTGCTGCTGCTGCTGCTGCTGCTGGTGCTGGTGCTGGTGCTGGTGCTGCTGCTGCTGCTACTACTACTACTGCTACTACTACCGCTGCGGGGCACTTTCCGGCCACGTCAATGCCAAACTAAAAGAGGCCAATGTTTTATTTTCGCTCTCGAGAGTAGAACGCTCAGCGCTGCCACAATGGCACTGTCGTTAGCAGGGCATTTTGGCGCGGTGCCGTTGCCATTTGTCAGTTTGCGGCAAGTAATAACTTGATAGTATGTGTGTATGTATGCATGCATGTATGTATACATGCATGTATGAAAGTGTGTGTATATATATGTATATACTTACATCTATGTTTGGTCACCTATGCTCACCTATGTGCTCATCTATGTGCTCATCTATGTGCTCTGTTTTTTTGTCTGGCGTGTTGCTTTCCTTCATGGATGTCACACACTAAATTGCACAATCGCACGCATATGTAATGTGTGTAGGAATGTGCACAATCGTTTGATAAGGGTGCGGAGTTGTGGAGAGGGGGACGTTGATGTGAAGGGGGAGGGGCTGAGAACGATGCGTTTCTCCCATCCCCCGCCGCCCGCTGCGCTTTGGCATCGCATTGCAGTAGCCCCTGCTAGGCGTAGTCTCCAACCCCTGCTAGGCGTAGTCTCCAACCCTGCTAGGCGTAGTCTCCCAGCCCTCTGAGATTTGCCTCAAATCGGTTCTTGTGTTGACTTGTCCTCCTGTCCCTGCCTGCTTGCGCCGCTTCTCTGCCTGCTCTCCCTCCTGCTCGGCCCTCGGGCTGTCGCCCAGGCTTCGCCCTCCCTTTCTCTCGGGCATCGCCCCCTGTCGCAGGCTCGCCTCCCCCACCGGCTCAAGGCTCGTGCTGGTCCCCGGGGGTCGTTCCCTTCTCTGCCTCCCTGCTGCCGTTGCTCTCCTTGGCCGTCCACCTTGTGGGCATCTTGGCGAGTGGGGTATGCATGACGAGGTGTTGCAGTTGTTCCGATACATGGGGCCATCGACCAGTCGTATAATGATGCTGTCGTTTCACCCCTTTGCCAATGCACCTCTGACGTCCGTGGCTGTTCTCTTACTTTCTCTCTCCACTTCCCCCTCCTTTTCGCTTATTGTCATCGTCCTCCTCCTCTTGATCACTTTCCGCTTCCATTCCCCGCTGCTCATTATTCTCCATCCCCCCCCCTCCCCATCCCCTCCATCCCCCCTCCGGCCTCCGCCGCAGCTCCCCCTGTCCTTTCCCTCCAGCGCCTTCCCCGGCGGAGGCCCGCGCGGCTGAGGCGGTGGACACGAGGGCGGAGGACGTTGGCGGCGCGCGCTCGCACAAGAGGGTAGCGCGAGGGCGTTGGCCTTCTAAGAAGGCGGGAGAGTTTCTGAGAAGGCAGGGGCAGTCTTAGAAGCAACCTCCGCTTCGAATTGCGCTACGGATGACCCCAACATGCGTATTTGAGTGCCTGCGGGCTTGTTCTTGTTGCACCTGCGCCCCCTTCCCAACAGTTGTTATAGTTCCCCATCCGACAGATTGGGGTTGTCAGATTTCAAGAACAGGCCCCCCAGCCAACCCCACCCCGCATACCGCCGCCGCCAGACCCCAAGTAGTCCCGAGTATCCCGCCTCGCGCCCGGCCAACCCCACCCTGCATACCGCGGCCGCCAGACCCCAAGTTGTCCCGATGATCCCCGGGAATCCCGGGCATCCCACCTCGCACTCGGCCGAACCCACCATGCGTACCGCGGCCGCAAGACCCCAAATTGTCCCGATGATCCCCGAGAGTCCCCGGTGTCCCGCCTCGTGCCCTCGACGAACACGACAGAACACAACGTGACATAACAGAACGTGACAGACCAGAACACGAGTATGAAAGACCATGCCAGAACAGAACATAGCAATGCCATGACAAAATACCACATAATATGACATCACAGAACATACCAGAGTAGAACATGGCATAACACTAACCACATAATTCAACATAGCAGTGTGTAGCCGGGCATCACATTACACACCTCACACACCTTGGCTGAACAGATCATATCATGGCTCAGCATCACAGAACATATCGTAACACAACAGCAGAGCATTGCGACGACGAACACGACAGAACACATCATGTCACAATAGAACATGACAGAACAGATACCCGAGCATGACATACCATGACAGAACACAACATAGCAATGTCACGGCAACATATGGCGTAACTGGCAATCACAGAGCATGCCAGAGCAGACCCTGACAGATCAGAAGAGCACAACCAAGAACATAGCATAGCATAACCGACCATAACATACCATACCTTGACATACCATATTACAAAATGGCGCATAACCACCGATCATGTCATAGCGACATCAGAGCATATCGACAAATTTGTCCAGATCAGAGCCGTCAACAAACATAACATCACATAACACACCATACCATACCACAATCATAACCTAAGACTACATATTACAACACATCCTAACATAACATAGTATAACGTAGCACACCATGACTTGACATATCATGTCATATCATGACCTCATCACAGCACATTCGCCCCGCAGCAAATGATAGCGACACGTACTAGCAGAGCATCTCATACTACACTGTATTGAGCCGAGCTGTCAACAGCATCACGGAACAGCGTATACGAGAACATAGTTTGACAGTAGATCATGTCGTATTGTTGTGCTACAGCGCAGATCATATCATAAAGTATTTATGCATGTGGTGACAGAGGTGAGCACACCAAGACATTTTCAACCAGAAAAGAGACACATAAGAGGAGAGGAACACCATAACAGACGACGCATCTAAAGTCACAGGTGTCACGACGCCACGCCGGCCCGTCAAGAACATAACAAAACATACGATTCGCTCACATGAGAGAGCGTGTGACTACACCGAACACGACTGGCAGCAGAGCCGGATGGAGGGGCAGTTACATTAGCAAAAGTACCGCGGCAGCAATTCCAAGCCGGCCTTCTGGAAGCGTCGGGTGCTGCAGTTACCGCGATTACGTTCGAGGCCATTCTGAACAAACACCTGGAACCCCTTAGAAGCGACCTTCAGGCCATGAAGCAACAGGGCGCTACACAGGAACATCTCATCAACATTGTGGGCCCGTTGCCTGAGAACCTTGAGAAATTGCAGGACGCGGTCACGAATGATATCGAAGACGTGCAAATACGTGCTTCCAACATGGGGAATCATGCGGAACGCCATCAACGAGATGAAGCAGGACATGTTGAATTCACGGGTCGCTCCCAGATCTATTGCTTGAGCATCGCAACAATGATCTCAGAGTTTCACTGGGAATGCCGTCAGCGATGCACGAACTATCACAGCAGTTGTTGGTGAAAGCGCGCCAATGGATCTCCCTGAATACACAAAACGGGGGCGGTGCTCGCAAACCCCGCCCCCCCTCCCCCCCTTCCAAGGGGGGGTGAGATTTTCGACCCCCCTCCCCTCCTCCGCCCCCCACTGTGCGATCACAGCCTGGGAGTGCAACATTCGTTCTTATAATGCAGTCAGCAGCGAGTTCAGTCATGCCATGGCTCGGTCAGCAGAGCTACAACGACAGGACCCATCCAAAAGACGACGGGCCAAGTGGATGCGCATAGCATTTCTTCCCTCTCCGCGTCTTTTCGCCCCTGTGCAGCCAGATCACTACTGGCTCCATGCTCTCCCTACTCCCGACCTCATTGCTTGCATGTGGGACGCTCTACGGGGGATGGAGGGATGTACGTCAGCAGTGCGTGAACTATTCAAGCTACACAACACCTTCATCGTTAAGCAATGCTCCCAGTCCGACGCCCAGGCGCACTATCGGGACCTCGCTACACAGCTTCAGTCGGAGTGGGACAAACAAGCCATGGACAAGGCTTTCGCCACATTACGACGTATGGGCGCGGGGTCCAAGAAGAAACTCCTGGTTCAGGCCCTCCCCATCATCAAAGGGAAAAGCGGGATCCCAGCATCTACCCACCAGGAGGCTGCGAATGTATGGCTAGCACATTTTGGAAGGGAGGAATGCTCTATTGTGATCCCAATACAGCACGCACAGGCTATCATCGACCTCCTCCCTCCCCTCCCTGCTCAGTCTTGCGCCGTCCAAGACGAGGACATTTTCCTGCCCGCGCTGGCTCAGTTTCAGACGGCGTGCGGAGGGGCGCGCCCCAGTGCGGCCAGCATCGACGGCATCACGGGACGCTTGCTAGCGACTTTCGGGCCCGAACTTGCAGAAGTCTACTTTCCTGTCGTCATGAAAGCAGTAGTGAGGCTCGAGGAACCGCAACAATGGAAAGGGGGGTCGTATTGGAACATCTGGAAGCGCTCAGGAGACCCGTCTTGGCCTGCCCACTCCAGATCCGTCATGGTCCCCCCACAGATCGGCAAGAAGTTCCGCGCCCCCATGCGCACCCCCCTCGCACATGCCCTTCCCAGCTACGCCGGGGACCAACAGTTTGGAGGCATCTCGGGACGTGGGGTGGACCTGGCAGGGCTCACCACACGCACCTTTCAGAACATAGCCGAGCTTTCCAACACCAGCATTATGTATCTTTTCATCGTTGTCGTTCAGGCATTTTACAAGTCGGTCAGACAGTTGGTAATGCGCTCATGACATACCGTTGACGACATTGCATGCGTACTGAGGACCACGGGACTCCCACCCGAGGCCATGCAACGCCTCCTTGCACGGCTCAGTTCGAAAGCGCCTAGTTTGGAGACAGCTGGAGTCAGCCAACACCTACAGGCTCTGGTAGCCTCTTCCTACCACGGGTCCTGGTTCCACTATCCAGGGGCCTCTACAGTGGCTGTTTCCCTGTTCGGTACTGTTCCAGGACAACAACTCGGGGACGTCGTTTTCAATTTCGTTATGGCGGAATGCATGGCCATCACCAAAGAACAACTCCAGCCTCTCCAACCAGCGCTGCAGGTTCCGACGCTGTGTGGAGCATCGCTCTCGCAGATGATGGCGCGCGAGCCTGCGCCCTCACAGCAGGCCTTAGAGGTTATCTTTTTTGACGATGGAGCTTTCGCCGTCATCGGAGATCCTCTCGAGCTGCTACAGCTTGCGCCGCAGGTCGCAGGCACAGTGGCGAGTTCTTCCGCATCTCGGGGCCTCACTCTAAATCTCAAGGCAGGAAAGACAGAGGTGCTGTGCCAATTTCATGGCAAACATTCCAAGTCCGCCCGACTCCAGCTATGGAAGCACATGCAGGGTATTTTCAGGTGGCACGACGACGTGGTAGGAGATACGCACATGCGCGCTGTACGTCAATACCCCCGTCTCGGGTCTATCTTGGACGAACGGTGTGCGCTGGGCCCCGAGGTAGCCAAACGTATAGCTGGGGTGGCACAGCCCGCCAGAATCCTCGTCCGCAAAGTCTTTCGGGCCCTGCCGCACGACGACGACGCCGGCGCAGTGAAGATGAGGTTCGTGGACTCACTTATTGTCTCCTCCATGTTATTTAACCCGGGGACTTGGTGCAACATCGAAACTGGAGCCTATGCTAAGCTACGTCATGCACTACTACGAAAGTACCGTGCTGCCAGTGGGCTGTTCAGCTATGACGACACTGCTAGTACCGACGCCGTTGTTCTGGCCACAATCACACGCTGCGATCTTAATGTGCAGCTGAGAGTACATAGGTTCCGACTTCTGGGTAGAGTTATCCATCATGGGTCCGACATCCTCCGAGGGCTGCTCGCGATGGCCTATCGGGCCGCTCAGGACAACCACGGGGCGACCAAAACCTCCTGGATACATCGCGTTTTGGAGGACCTAACTTGGATGCGCAAGGTATGCAAACTGTGAAGAGTGCACTCCCCTGCCCCTCTGCCGCCCGTGCCACCATGTGTGTATGTTGTACGCGCTTGTCTTGTTTTGTGGCATGCACGCTGCCCGCCGCTGTTTTGGCTCAAGTCCTAGGGCCCTGGGACGCACCCGCAGTTGGACTGCCGCGCGGTCTTTGCTGAAAACAACTGCACTGACATTGGTAGCGGAGCTAGTAAGCTCCAGCGGACGCACTGCGTGCTCTGCTTCGGTGGTTGTGACCACCCGCGTGGGCCGCCATGGCCACCAGCCACGACGGCTCAGACGTGGAGGCTGCGTCCTCCGCAGGCACAGGCCCCCCGGACCTGCACGCAGTCCTGCGCGTGATGGCCGAGACCCAGCGGGAGCTCTTGGCCTTGCATCGGGATCGTGGCGACGGCGGTCCCAGACGTACACGTCTACTGCTGTCGCAGGTGAGGCTCCCAGAGTTCGATGGTGGAGTCGGTACGAGTACTAAGAAGTACCGAGAGTGGCGCA